ACACGCCCTATCAATAATCCCCGAAATGCATGTTAACGGTCTTTAATGCTTCATGTATGGCGTTATCACGCACCGTGTCCAACTTTGGGACTTTGTTGGGGGTAAAAAAGTTAGTTGCCTTATGACACTCTAAATCTTCAATATAAAATAGAAGTACATACCATTGCTTTAACACAAAAGACCTAGTTATATATATCATCGATTTTGTAAACAAGTCCGGCACGGTGGTACAACTATGGTTCGGTGCATTCCTGTACAGACAACGGTAAGGGGGTATTAAGGCTAGAAATCATATTTAGTCAGTTAACTTCATTGACTTCTTTCACGTACAGATTTTTGAAGCTCCCGCACATGCCGCGCGCTGCCAATTAAGTCCCATTGTCCGAGGGAGCCTGTGGTCACTACTGTTGCGCAACTCCTGGCACGCGATATTTAGAAAGCTCAATAATCCATCCCCCCCCCCCCCCCCCCCGCTGTACATGCAGGTAGGTTAAGTCGGTGAAAGATAATCGATATAATGAACACGCTTTGAAAGCATTACGTCTTTATGGATTAGAGAAACGGATCGGACGGTGTAAATATACAATGTGTAGGATGCAGTCAGTCCCTTAATACAGATGTACGTGTACATACTGTACACACCGTACCAAGTGAGCCGACGCTGAAAGTTTGTATTTTCTACGACCACTGCACACAGATACACGTACATATATGGTTCTGGTGGTAATGTGGAAGAATATTGTGCAATTGCTATTGCACCTGGATAACATACACGATATGACAAAGCAAATATCGTTGCAGAAGCACGGAGTTATTTATTTGCTCCATGATCGGTGCGGTCATCGAGGGGTGATCGACCATCGGTCTCCGTATAGAACGCATGGATTCATTAGCTCTCTGATCTATTATTAACACAATTCCTCCCTGGTTAAAAAAAAATCACCGGACTATACCGTGCAAGTACGCTGTTCACCGGTGAGTGTTTGTTTACTACAAATACATTAATTAATTTTTTCAAACTTTTTTAAAACTCGACCAGAAGAAACTTTTGCATGTCTGTACACGTACACGAACTTGTCCGTGTGGATTGCACAATGGACTACCGGAATGAGTCATTCGCAACAAATCTTAAAGAGGTTGTGGAATGCTCAAGACATTTCCGTCATTTTCGGGTATATGTAGCCTAAGGTGTGATGAAATAAAAACGACTATTCTTTCTGTCATAAAATGAGTACAAAAGGTACTTTTGAGAGCTGTTTTTCAAGTCCTGTCATGCCTGTTTCAACCCGAACGTGCAATTTGTGTAAAAGTCGTCGTTGCGATCAGCAAACAAAACACAGTAAATCGTGACGTAATAAACAGGACTCCCGATGCAGAGTAGCATAAACGAGTCCTGTTTATTACGTCACGATTTAGTGTGTTTTGTTTGCTGCCCGCAACGACGACTTTTACACAAATTGCACGTTCGGTCGAAACAGGACCTGAAAAATAGCTCTCAAAAGTAACCTTTGTACTCATTTCATGACAGAAACAACAGTCGTTTTTATTTCATCACACCTTAGGCTACATATACCAAAAAAAATGACGGAAATGTCTTCGAGCATTCCACAACCTCTTTAAGGGTTGTTTTATTCTAGACGATGTTTGCCGTACTCGATAATAATTTACTAAAAGATAAATTCTTCAATTAGACAATCATAATTGTTTCCTTCTTTCTTCCTTTTTTGGAAGGGGGGAAGGGTAATGGTTTACTGCAGCAAAAAATTCGTCGTTTCCACTCTATAAGCGCGTTAAAACATTGCACCATTCACAAAATTTGTTTTCCTCTACATGTCTTTACATAGCGGCTCTTGATAGACCGAGATTCATCATTAACTTCTCTCAAGGTCGTTTTTGCACTCTCCATTTTTACCAGAGTAAAAACATTTTTTCACAAGGTTTCCAGCTAGTTGGCTTAATTGGCGCTCTGTTGGTGTGGCCTGCATTTTGTTTTTATTATTCACTGTTAGCACACTGCTTTGAATGAATACAAATGATAGTCTTGGTCATTTCAAACGTTTGACGTTCGTCTTTGTCCGATAATCCGGCTCAAGTCTCCCTTTTGTCCGATAATCCGGCTCAAGTCTTCTTCTGCCCTCTACCCCAGTTCAAGTCTCCCTTTGTCCGCTATTCCGGTTCAGGTCTTCCTCTGTCCGCTTTTCCATCTAGAGGGGTGGGCTGCCCCCTTTGTCCAATATTACAGTTCGTGTTTCCCCCTTGTCCACTATTCCAGTTCCAGTCTTCCTCTGTACAATATTCCATCTAGGGGATGGGTCCCCCCTTTGTTTAATACAACTTTTAGACCCATCCCTTGTCCGGTAAAACTTACATACGCCAATGCGCAAATGAGTCCAAATGAGTCCATTGTCTTTGTGCATTTATGCATAAAATTCTTTTGTCTTGTCCGATGAAGACCCAACACACTACTAACCTGCTCACGACCGATTCCACATTTCCCCGGAGTTTTTCAGCGCCTGTCGGCACGGGAGCCGATGGCCCTGGAGCCTTTCTTGTCTATAGATATACTGATATACTGACCCGGCTCGGGCCATTATCAGCGACCATTCCTTAAACCGGTCTTAAACGGACTTGTTTGAAACCAGCCAAGCACACATTTATTCCTTTACTTATATTTTAATGTTTGAAGTTGAAACTAATATTTATCGTTTGTCTTTAAATTCACACTCATAAATACATGTACCTAAGACAGTTTACGCATTCCTATTGGTCGAGAGCCCGTCACATGGCCGGTCTTAAACAGATGATAAAGACATGGCTAGCTGGTCTTAAACACTTTTCCAGTGTCACATGAAATTTGGACTCCCATGAAATCCGGTAACTTATAACGTTTCATTGGTTGAACGTTCACATTCCTCGCGTATGCATGCGCAATGTACTACCAGTGAATCAGTATTTCATGGTCCGAAATTCACACTACACAAGCCCAGCTGCGTTTTGCGTGACATCGCGCAGTACCCACGACGCGCACATCAATGTCCTTATCAGGTAACCAGTTGTGGAGGGGCATTCCATATTATAGTCAGAGGGGTATTTCGTAAAGCATGAAGTAAAATTGTTAAATAAAATGGTTGGCAACGTCTAGTTTTTGACATATTTTGATTTTTGGACCGAACATATTTTTTTTGGCCGAAATGGTATTCTTGAATGGGAATAAATATGTGTTCGGTCGGTATTAAACACTCTGTTTAAAACCGGTGGGAGTCTGGATGTGTGATAATTACCCTCGGCTTCGCCTCGGGTAATTATCACCCATCCAGACTCCCACCGGTCTTAAACATAGTGTTATCATACCTCCCGAACACACATTTATTACCTACTTATAACAATATTCAGAGGATATTCCTAGCTGTTAAAGCATATATTTTAACCTAGCTTGAGTAACTCCAGCTCTAATGCCTATCGCATTAGAGCTGGAGTCACAACTACGTTACAAGAACCGGGTCGCAAGAGTCCCGAAATCCCGGACTGTGTATCCCCAGTGCATTACAAAAACGGTCCATTTTCCCTATATTATCCCGACCCAGATTCCATAATTCATACCTCATACGATGCAGCAGACATTCATAAAGCTAATAATGGACTTCAAACAGAACAACGAAATCTAAAATATTGAATTTTTCGATGATTTTGTTGGCGATTCTCTAGAAACTATGAGAAAACGTCGCGCGACACTATTCTCTGCCGTCTGCCGTTGACCCAAAAAAATCCATTGGCCAACAAAAACATCAGATTTACCTCAAAACGGCCTCCAAATTACTAGATACGCCACCTGAAGTACAAGGAGAGATCGATGATTAAAATCGAGGTACTAAAGTTTGCTTACGAGTCGGATGAAAAGTGAAATTTCCCGTTCAATTCCGAGAGCTTCCCTCGCGATCGATCGTGAACACGTTACATTTCCGACTCGTGTTTGAACAACGCGATGTGAACGTACCTGCCCAGCGTTCATTCAGTGGTCCCAGCGCGATTCCGTTAACGAGCGCGATGCATCGATTATGATAATGAGTAGACTGGATCTCGTTTGTACAAGTGCATTTCGAACGATGATACGGAGTCGGGAACTAGCTTGAACTGGTTTCCGCCGATAGCTGCCGTAGTTCCCGACTCCGTATCATAGTTCGAAATGCACTTGTGTGTACAAACGAGATCCAGTCTACTCATTATCATAATCGATGCATCGCGCTCGTTAACGTAATTGCGCTGGGACCACGGAATGAAATCTGGGCACGTACGTTCACATCGCGTTGTTCAAACACGAGTCGGAAATGTAACGTGTTCACGATCGATCGCGAGGGAAGCTCTCGGAATTGAACGGGAAATTTCACTTTTCATCCGACTCGTAAGCAAACTTTAGTACCTCGATTTTAATCATCGATCTCTCCTTGTACTTCAGGTGGCGTATCTAGTAATTTGGAGGCCGTTTTGAGGTAAATCTGATGTTTTTATTGGCTTATTATTTTTTTTTGGTCAACGGCAGTCGGCAGAATAGTGCCGCGCGACGTTTTCTCATAGTTTCTGGAGAATTGCCACCAAAATCATCGAAAAATTTCATATTTTAGATTTCGTTGTTCTGTTTGAAGTCCATTATTAGCTTTATGAATGTCATGCTGCATCGTATGAGGTATGAATTATGGAATCTGGGTCGGGAAAATATAGGGAAAATGGACCGTTTTTGTAATGCACTGGGGATACACAGTCCGGAATTTCGGGACTCTTGCGACCCGGTGATTGTAACATAGTTGTGACCCCAGCTCTAATGCGATAGGCATTACAGCTGGAGTTACTCAAGCTAATTTTAACCCATTATTTTCTTTTTATCATAACCCCCGCTGTCAATTAATTATAGCCCGTGCAAAAAAAATTACCAACAGGACAACCCTAAAGAGGATGGATGAAAAACTAATAAAAAAAAATCAAATAAACAGTCTAGAATTACTTACCAATCAATTCTTCTCAGAATATATTCCAAAGTAATGTATTTTCCAAACGAAATTATTTCCTGTAGTGAGTGAGATTGCAATATTCCGATGTGTACTACATGTAACATATATCAAGGCCAATAACGTGGTTCTCATTTGAATGAACAATGACATGTGGTTCCACTTTTTAGTTGATGTAAAAACTCCTCAATACCGTAAGATCACATCAATAGTATTTAACATGTTTCGTAAGCCAGTGTTATCCCGTAGCTGTAACTACAAATATAAAGTCCATTTGGCTTTGGAGGGAATGAATAGAGTGTGTACGCGCTACACGCTACTGATGGTGACTGTGTGTGACCGTGACTTCCATGTGTACACATGTACCTTGTACTTCAAGGACAGGTATGCACGGTGCCTCGATCATGATCATGATGATGAATGGAATAAAACATGTGCACCCATCCGGCGAAGAGCTAACGCCATAGCATTGTCATATTCACGTGTACTGTGCGTGGTGCATGGAATGGAACGTGGGGTTAAAAGCTATACATGTAGATTATTGTGTACCTGTGTCGTTTAGGTTTGCTTCATTTTGTTCTTATATTGGCCGGCTCGGAAAACAATTATTTGACACCATATTGAGTTAAAATATTTGCTGAGAATTTGCCGGGGAGGGGGGGGGGGAGAAATGTATACACTGATCTAGAGAAAGATGTCCCCTATAAAATAATGATGCCTCCTCATTATAGTAGGTGAAATATCATTGGTCCTCTCTATGGAGACGTGCTGTACATGCATTTCGCTGGTTGCATATATAAATATCCGTCCGAAATCATATAGCAGTCAAGTCGCTAATAAACATGTCGAAGTCAGCAAATGAAAATTAACATGATATAGGCCTATGCACTGCCCTGTGCTAGTAGATATTGAGGCGCGTGACGGACAAAACACTACTGTGTAATGACTTGTTCTCAAGTCTAGGCCAACCGGAGAATGTTTGCTGAACCATGATTCAACCACTCGTGACTTTTGGAATGGAAAAATACAGTCACGCAGTGAAGTTGTCTATAAATAGTCACATCATTGGCGCTGGCCCATGTAACCATCTATGGGCGTTTTCGAATCCCTGTTCTTGACAACACGCGGGTAACACGAGAACGTATTCTCGAGCTGGTTGTTACGAACGCGCGGATGCGTGTCGCATCGATATAAAGCAATGCAAAATGGCCGACAATCGTCTGAATTTGTTCTTAGGCCTATTCCAAATGAACGAGGACGACTGTTGCAAAACCAGACATGCGGGGATGAAATTGCATACCTGCACTATAATGGTATTCTTATTCCCATCATTAGGGTATTAGCAACAAAAAAAACACCACAAAACAGTTTACGAATCTGCACAGTCCGCCATTTTGTTCAAGCTGCACCTCGCCGAACCCTCCATCAACCGGGGAGTGAAAAAATCGATCCGCGAACGCCCTCTCGGGTCTGTTCGTCACGTTCGAGACCGCTGTTCTCGTATCGGGTTAACCCGAGTGTTGTCAAGAACAGGGATTCGAAAACGCCCTATGAGTGCAGAGAAAAAAAGCCACATGTTTAGCGTCCCCGCCCGCTTCCTTTTTGGAGGCAGCCTCCTTTTTTTTCTTCTTTTTTTTACGCGAAAAAAATGATAAATTGTAAACAGTGACATCATTCTGGCCTCTTTGTCTGTTGTATTTAGCCCATATAAAGCTGGTATGTCGTTTCTGAGTCCGAGTGGCGGCCATTTTATTTATTCGAGACTACAGAAAAACACGAAAAGTGCCTAGATACATGCACTGTTTGGCTAAGATGGCTAAATATGTGAAAAGTTGAAATCGTGTGCTTTATTTTGATACCAAAAGTAACTGCTTTTGACAAGTATAAAGTGTTGTTACGGCCTGTCAAACAAAATCATATTTTTTATCAACAAAAGCAAGGGCCGATATTTTTTTTTTAGGTGTACATTCGATTCTTAAAAAAGGCCGAAAGAAACAGCAAAGTTCAGTAGATAGAGGAAAGTATACGCTTCATTTTCATGTGAAACACGTGCAGGAGACTTTTAATGTTTGGTCCAAATCGCCCGTTGAAAAATGAAGACTTTTGTCAGATTTCATGATTTGCAATCACATTTACGCGTGTAAACGAACGTATGTACGCCGACGTACGTTGGCCTAGCCTGAATGCAATGAATGACTTATGAATATTAAGCAGGCCCTGCTCATCTCAGTTTTGTACAAGAGGGAGTGAAGTGATCTAAATAATATAATGTCCGTTCTGTTGTCTCCTCCGTCGCCCAGAATTAAAATATATTTTGTTGTTGTTGTCTATTGCTATATTTCTGGCAAAACAAAACTCACTTTTGAAGGAAAGCGAACGAAAGAAAAAAAATCGTTTTCGAATTATTTGCCGTCTCGCACATAAGGCGAATTTCTTTCGGACCAAGGTTCTTCCTCAGACCGGAGACTAACAAAGTAGTCTCAAGACTAAAGGATGCAACTTCGTTTTGGTGAAAATATATAGGAATTGATTGTCTTACTCAGTCTGCTTAAATAAGTCAAATAAGCACTGCAGGACACCTGATTTCGGACCACAACAATTATTGCTTACTTGCTTACTTGCTTATGGCGACTCTGAAGGTCGGACTCTAGTGAAAGCCCTTCAAACCACTCTATCCACCAATCATGCCCACTTAAGCCCGTACGCACTGCTAGGAGTTTGATGTAGTCCTGAGGTGGCTGTCCTCTTGATGTCTTTCCATGTATGGGTTGCCTTAGTAGAACCTTGGAGGCAGCTTCGTCCTTTCTCCTTGCACAGTGTCCTGCAAATCTCAGCATTCTTGTTCTCAGCCTCTCAGAAATTAGCCCTAGTTTCCCATACAAGTCCTTATTGGTGGTATGCGCTTGCCATGGAACATTGAGTGCTTTCCGTAGTAGGTGTAACAACCATCTAGGTCCTTTCTGAGCTTTGATAGTGTCCAAGTTACTGCATCATATGTTAGAACTGGTTCCACGGTGACAGTAAACAGCTTGATCTTGAGGTCTCTCGGCAATTTACTCTTCCAGATTTTGACTATTCCGTTACAGGCTTTCCATGCCTGTGCCTTTCTGGTGTTAAAATCCTTCTCGCTGCTGGTAATCCAGGCTCCTAGATATTTAAAGTCCTGTACAATTTCTCGGTCACTTCCATCCAGAGTGTTCATTGCAGATGGTGTTTCATTGAACGCCATGGCCTTGGTTTTTTGGCATTCATTTCTAGTCCAACCTTTAGTGCAGCGGCTTCTACCAGATGTAACATCTCTTCTGCATCTTTCAGATTGTTGGCAAGAAGGGCTATATCGTCCGCAAAGTCTAGGGCTATCATTGTTTGCAGACCAATTCTCCTGCTTCTCCGAGGTACTAGTGTGAAGCCAAGACGCTCCTGGTTGTCTTCCAGTGCCCTCCTCAGTACAAAGTCAAGGACTATGATAAATAAGAAGGGGGCCAATGTGTCTCCTTGTAGGACCCCTGCTTGAATGGTGATATCTTCAGTGACTCCATCCGGTGAGGTGACCTGGGCTGTCGTATGCTAGTATGTGATTCCTATAACAGCAACAAGCTTTTCTGCATGGTACTCCATAGACTCTCAGTATGTTGAGCATTTTTTGTCGGTGGATTGTTTCAAATGCCTTCTTGAAATCTATGAACACCAATGCTGCACTCAGATTGTGGTTCGTAATTTCTTCTACGATCCTCCTCAGGGCTAGAATCTATGAAACTGTGGACCTTCCTAGACGAAAACCATTTTGATTCTGGCGAAGTACAGGGTCAAGGTATGGTCGAATCCTATTTAGTAGCAGCTGATTGTATGTTTTTGCTACCGTAGATGACAAACATATACCCATGTAGTTCTTCCCTTCCCTGAGATCTCCAGTCTTCGGAATCGGAATCGGTTGAGAAGTGACCACTGATCTGGTTATCTGCCTTTCAGCAAAGGATCATTGCAGAAGTTGAGAATGATATCATCCAGACCACACCTTTTGAGTACTTCTGGAGGGATATCATTTTCTCCTGGACTCTTACCTTCAGCGATGTTTTTCTTTGCGGCATTGTATTCCTCTCGATCAAAGGCATCTGTTCTCATGTTAAATTCCTCAAACACTTTGTCAAGAATGTTATTTTCATCTGTGAAGTGAGAGTGCCAAAAAGATTTCATTTACCGTACCTGTATTTAGTAATAGACATAATCTCCAGCGCCTTGAGTACCTAATTTATTGATGGTAGATACGTGCGCTATAAGACTCCGGTATTATTATTATTATAACCCTCCCTCAATTTTCTCTCCTCCAGGTTCCTCGGTGGGCGTGTGGACTAGCCGCAATGACCATTTTCTTATATCAGAAAATACGAAACGATGTGGAAGGGCAATGGCAAGAGATAAGGAAGGGTGTTGGGGCATCATTTTCAGGTTTGCTTGGGGGAAATCGATGCACATTAGTCTGGTTTCTATAGACCTAAAGATACCGAATATTTTGACGGTTGGAAGCCAAGGTCGAGGCGCTAATATCGCGTGACCAAAAGGGACAGGGAATCTTCCAGTTTCTGAAAATGTCTGAAGTTTGCCGATCACTAGTTGAAACCTGCGATTTAGGTTAAAGAAAAGCGCAAGCGTAAGCAATGTCTGTAAATGTAATGCCTTTAATCAGTCTTGCATTTTTTCTTTTAAATTATTTACATCGAAACTCACTTCTGCGAGAACGGGGGCTGGGAAGGTTGTTAGGTCAGGAAAGCAGACTAGATGGACGATACAGTGCACCACCAAGCATATTGGCGGATCCGGGCGGGAGGGTCCAACTGGGGCCATTCCCCCCTCCAAAAATGTGCTAATAAATGACACCAGTAGAACGAAAAACAGGACCATTATGGGTTTGAGAGAAACACAAAAAGCCTTCAGATTATATGTCCCACAAAGGGTTCAAGCAGTGACAACTTGAAGGCCATGCACGTTCGGCTAAAGGAAACAGTGTGACAAAGTATTTCTTTTATTTCTCTCTAAATGCCAAAAAGTGAAAATTCACTCCATTCGAGTGAAGATTCACTCCCACAGTCGGAAACTAGGGTCTAGAAGTTTTAGAGTGAAATTTCTTCAATCGTAAAGATTGAGTGTTCACTCGAGTTTCGTCTGAAGTGGTTCTTTTTTCAGACTATTTCAATCAAACATGAGAGTGATTTTCACTCTAAATCGTCTAGTCCCTAATTTCACTCTTTGGAATTTAGAGAGTGGTAAGTGACTGTTATCTGATTTGTAACTAACTTTTATCTTTTATGTAAATAATCTTTTTTTCTGATTTGTAACTTAGTTTTTTTCTGATTTGTAAGTAACCTTTTCTGATTTTATAACAAACTTGATTTTCTTCCCTTTTGTGAAGTTTTTATTCCGCAGTGCTATATCATGTATTTTTTTCTGTGTCATTCTAACACCACTAACAGTCTTCGTGACAATCGAGATGGCTATCTGCATGCGGATTGGTCAAAGGCCGGAGCTATTTTTAACATTGATGCTTACGACGATGTTCATGTTCTTCACAGCGCAATGGCAGACCTACTCTCTAAATTCCAAAGAGTGAAAATTCACTCCATTCGAGTGAAGATTCAATCCCACTAGTTGGGTCCAAAACATAAGTTCCGTGACCATTCTCTGGCTAGGATGGTTTGACGATGGATTTGACTTCTATGGACCATTTATAAAGAAATTAGCCCCCCGGTCCCTCCCAAAAATTCCAGCATTTTTTGCTAGGGGGCCAAATCCAAGATGGCCGCCAGCGCCATCTTGAAAAATTAACTTTTGAACCAGAGCACCTAGAATCATGTATGAAGACACTTTTTCAGGTGAGTCGACCATGAGGATTCCGATTCCGACATCAGTTTGACGCTATGACGTCATTTTGACCCAGAAATCCAAGATGACCCCCATTCGATAGAGCAAAAACATAAATTTCAAACGGGAGCACCTAGAATCATGAATGAACACATTATTTTGGCAAAATCGTTGTGCTGATGCAATTTAAGAAGGTCCTGGACCCATCCAGCATAAATGGAGCGAGAACCCCGCAGCCAGACATGATGGTCAATGGTTCTTATTAAGGAGTGAGGTCCGAATGGGATCGAGGGCCATATCAGCTGGTTTTAAAAATGATTAGCACAATGAAGTTTTGTCTTGTTTTAACAAAGCACACTTCATTTTCAGATTTGTCCCCACTGACTACGGCAATCATCATAATCATCACACTGAATTATTATATTGGCACCAAATTATTCGCTTTTTATATATTTTATATCACAAACACTGCTACTTCTTACTGTTATTGACTCCTCGGATTGGTACGCGCACTGTAATGATGCTGTGGTTTCCCTGGTTTGTGATGTGAATTGAGAACATAGCTTACGACAATGTCCACTGTTCAATGTGTCCTCCAGTGTGGTAGGCTTTGCGAGTAGGCCACCGATCACCGATTACCTCAATTGAGATGTGGGAAAATCAAGAAAAAGGTCCTGTAATGGAGCGGTCAGAACTGTCATTTGCAATAAATGTCCTGTCTGACAGTGTGTCTGTGATACATTTAGGTTGACCTTTTAAAACACCAAGAAACTAGACAAGAAACTTGAAACAGACCTACAAAAAAAGAAAAAGAGAGGTTGACGAATGTCAATCTCAGTCTTTGTCTATGTCTGTTGTCTAGTTCTGTTGCCCAGCTGTGGCTTCAGCTGCCAAGGAGCTGCAATCGAGTCTGGGGGCAATGCATCATAAAACAAAATGTAACATGAATTAAGCAAAGCACCCAGAATCAAAGCCAATCCTAATTTCGTATGATCACGCATGGCCAGATTTCAAGAGACACACATTAACCATGGATGATCAGAGCTTGCAAGACAAAATCGACTGTCTGATCGATCCTGCATTATGATCACCCCTATGCACTTGAGATCAGATATCACCCTCAAATGTCGTTTGAAATGATGTGCGTAGCTATCAGAAAATAAGTGAAGATGACAAACTCTCACGAATGCTCCATGCCTTTCTCCATGAGGATCAAACGATCTTCTTTGACCACATCAGAACAGTTATCTTTGAGGACAAAAGCTAAGGGCACTTTAGAGCCTCCTCAGAGATGACAGGATAAACCTTCTCTGTGTGTATGGCTTCCCAACATCATGCGAGGGAAAGATTGCCTTCCACTCCCATCCTCGAAGGAGACAGAGCGACCTAGACTGTGACGCGTCTGTGGGGGGAAGGTGGTTCTTATGTCGAAGCAGCACTGTCCTCCATCGGTGTCAGCATAGCAGATAGCAACTGGTGCACAATGTGGCTGATAGGCACCGAGGGTCAAGAAGCTAGAGCAGGAGGAGAAGGAGTTCTGCTTGCAATCTGCTTTGCGTGGGAAGAGGGGGTAGATCTGTCACTCCCCCTCTCACCTCTCTCATCACACAGTATGTCATAAAGCTACCAACCACATCTGCCAGAAATGCAACCGTCACCCTTCTCGGGATAACTTACAGCAAGGAGCTTATTGACTCTTACTACAAGCTTGGCATGGGGATCAGCTACCTAAATGTGCTTCTCCTCCGCGGCCTTTAGACCATGCATGACCAGGAGCGGTGCTCTGTCTCTCCTGAGGAGATCGCTGAAGGAGAACCAAGCATCAATGAATGGCAACCAGATGCAGCCGAGCAAACTATTCGGAGTCATGATGGCTTGAATATGGAGCAGGGGAAGCGCAAGGCTTACACTGACTGCCCAACAAGTCAGTTGTGAATCATGTCAAAGACAAGCTGTCTTAATCATCGGCACTAAGAGCATGGCTCTGTACGTTGCATGATTAGGGTGGATGGGCGGCTCACAGCGCCGTGTGGTCCTTTATGACGTACCTGCTTTCATCTCAGCCTCCTCATCAGCCAGTATTTGTGATTTATATTTGCTCATCCTGGATATTTGCCTTTTTCTAATGTACAAGAGGTTCTAGACGCTGCAGAAACATCAAGTTACAGCGGTGCATTTCCTCCTCCTATAAAGTTGTTGTTGAGAAAGTCATCAGTGTCAATGTCACTGATGATTGGTTCTTCATCAGCGATTTCCTGAACTGATGACATCTTTGAGCCGCTCAGCCACATTGCACACTAATTGCTTACTACTATGCTGACACCAATAGAGGACAGAGCTGTTTCTACAAGACCCCCCCCCCCCGACGTGTCATGGATTAGATCACTCCGAGGGTTGGAGCGGAAGCCGATCTTGCCCTCAAACTCCTGGGTTAGGATATCTTTTATATAGGATGACTTGACCCTGGATGTTGGGATTAGGGTTAGGGTTACTGTTATAACTTATACTTATATAACCAAAGAAGATGGTCTGAACCTTATAGAGAGTTACATTGAGCATGCGTGGGAGTTTGTCATCTTCACTTATTTTCTGATAGCTACGCATTATTTCAAACGACATTTGAGGTGATATCTGATTTCAAGCGCGTATGGCTGATCTGCTGCAGGATCGATCAGACAGTTGATTCTGTCTTGCAGGCTCTGATCTTCCAAGGCCACTCTGTCTCTTGAAAGCTGGCGTGATCGTACGAAATCAGGATTGGCTTTGATTCTGGGTGCTTTGCTGAATCTGTCTTACAGCACCATTAGCACTTTGTTTTATGATGTATTGCCCCCAAACTCGATGGCAGCTCATTGGCAGCTGAAGCCGCAGCTGGGCAACAGAACTAGACAACAGGTATAGACAAAGACTGAAATTGGCATTTATCAACCTCTTGTTTTTCTTGTCTTTTGTTGGCCTGTTCAAGTTACTTGGTATTTCATAAAGTCAAGCTACATGCATCATGGACAGATATTGTCCGACAGGGCTTTTATCCGAATTGTCAGTTGCGTGGACATCTCCAAACTTGTGCGGACCGCTCCATTACAGGGCCTTTTTCTTGGGATTTTCCAACCTCTCATTTGAGGTCATAGAATCGGTGGTCTTGTCGCAAAGCCTACCACACTGGAAGACACATGGAACGATGGACATTGTCGAAAGATACATGCCTGTTCCCAATTCATTTCAATTAAACCACCGAAACCACAGCATCATTGCAGTACGTGTACTCCAGGAAACGTATAACAGTAAGAAGTATCGGAAGTGTTTGTGATATAAAATATATAAAAAAAGAACAATTTGGTGCCAACATATATGTAGTGATTATGATGATGATGATGATGATGATGATGATGATGATGATGATGATGACATGCCGTAGCCTCATTAGGGACACAACCTAAAAAAGGAAGTGTGCTTTGTTAAAACAACTCAGAACGTTGTTGTGCTAAACAAGTTTATACAAAATCCAGCCAATATGGCCCTCGATCCCATTAGGACCTTGCACCTTATGCTGGATGGGTCCAGGACCTTCTTAAATTGCATCAGCACAACGATTTTGCCAAAATAATGTGTTCATTCATGATCCTAGGTGCTCCCGTTCAAAAGTTATGTTTTTGCTCTATCAAATAGGGGTTATCTTGGATTTCTGGATCAAAATGATGCCATAGCGTCAAACTGATGTCGGAATCGGAATCCTCATGGTCGACTTACCTGAAAAAGTGTCTTCATACATGATTCTGGGTGCTCTGGTTCAAAAGTTAATTTTTCAAGATGGCGCCGGCGGCCATCTTGGATTTGGCCCCCTAGCGAAAAATGCCGGGATTTTTGGGAGGGACCGGGGGGCTAATTTCTTTATAAATGGTCCATAGAAGGCAAATCCATCGTCAAACCATCCTAGCCAGAGAATGGTCACGGAACTTATGTTTTGGACCCTACTACACTGTCGGAAACTAGGGACTAGACGTTTAAGAGCGAAATTTCTTCAATCGTAAAGATCGAGTTTTCACTCGTGTTTCGACTTAAGTGGTTCATTTTTCAGACTATTTCAATCGAAAATGAGAGTGTTTTTCACTCTAAAACGTCTAGTCCCTAATTTCACTCTTTGGAATTTAGAGAGTACATCTCCGGAGTGGTCAGATTTGGAACGTCGAGTATTGATGAACTGCCGATGCATTTATAGGGTCTGTGATTTACAGACATGGGTGTACTTTGGAAGATATTTATGTTGATTGAAGTAGACCTTTAAACATGGCCTCTGATGCTTATTAGTGATAGGGTATGGGTCTGGCTATTTAGAAACAAAAATAAATAGGCAATTAATCGGGTGCCAAGTTGTAGACCTTGCAAGTATAGTGTTTCAATATTGTTATAGATGTAGTATTATTTGATCCCGTGTGGAATCAGGGGGTTCCGGGGTCTATATTGACAAAGACTGTCCTGATGCAAATGATGTACTCAGTAGACACAGGTTACTGTTGATTTCACGAAAGATTTAGCAGTACTATTTTATTCTTGACGACACTCTGTTATTAATTAGGAGAATTAGAAGATTTCGGGTTCCGGATTCCAGTCAGCTGTGGTGATTGTTTCTCCCCCAATCATTCGGGCTGATTTTGTGTACTGATTCCCACCACTACTCGGACGCCATGCTTTTTCCACACTTACCCCCAAAACGACAACTTTATGCACGACCTAGCCTTGGTCAATGCTCTCCTCGTTATTCGTCCCGTACGCGGTCAATCGTCGGCATATATCCTCACGCGCTATGCACATGCATGTAAAAATACAGCGCAAACAGCGACCTCACGCGGCCACTATTTTTATGCAAATCAGGTGAAGACGAAGTCGAGCCTTGGTTCAATCGTCGGCAAAAGCTTATTTTTTCTTTACTTTGCGCTAGATTTCCAGCGCACGACCTCGTATGCGAATACAGATAAGTATAGGCGGGGCTAATATGTGGAGTGTCCAATCACACCTTGGTAAATCCGGACGTCATCAAATTATTTGCAGCTATTCCACCTTTTGCGGACGTGACATGAACCACAGTTTTTGTGCATTGGTGCCGTGTGCAGAGACACACAATGTGTACGTGTATGGATTATGTACGGTGCCACGTTTCACTATGCAAGTTTCCACGCAACGATCGACCAATAAGAAAACGACATTTAAGGTCAGCTAAGGCTATTAACATAATGAGCACCACCCCCAAAACCTCACATGGACGATTGAACCAAGGCTCGACTTCGTCTTCAACTGATTTGCATAAAAATAGTGGCCGCGTGAGGTCGCTGTTCGCGCTGTATTTTTACATGCATACATGTGCATAGCGCGTGAGGATATATGCCGACGATTGACCGCGTACGGGACGAATAACGAGGAGAGCATTGACCAAGGCTATGCACGACCCTACGAGACGCACACTTCTATTGTCTAAAGTTGACCCGAGGTCACGCACTTTCGAAGCCCATACAGTGCGCTATATTTAGAATATCATGCACCGATTCAGGTCAACTCGCCCCCTGGCCGACTTGCCTCTTACCGACTCGCCCCCTGACCGACTTGCCCCCTGACCGACTTGCCCCCTGACCGACTCGATGTGCGCGTAGTAGCGTTCACGGTGACTTCCGGCGGGCACGGCAGGTACCGGTGGGTGCCGGCGCGCGACAGGTACCGGTACGGCGGGTGCCGGCGCGCGGCAGGTATACCCGCGTTCACCGTTTGTCAATGACATAATTTAATAATTGTAAATCTCGACTCTGGGTCCTCAGTTTCATTAAAAAATATTTTTTCAGAATAAATGATGTATATTTGAAAAATCAAAAATGTTTTTCATTTTTTGGTTTAGTGGTGTTCTTATCAAACATACCGAAAGGTTTTGAAAAAGTTATAAAAGAGGCTCAGAAATGGAACTTGCAGAACCAAATTTTGAATTGGGCAATTGTAATAGTTCAATCCCAAAACTCAGATAACAAAGCTGATTTGCTGGACCCTCTGTGTTCCCCTCCACAGCCATCGTAGAGGACGTTCTTCTCGAGTCGGTGAAGCCAGACAGAGCTGTGCCGTTTCTGCCCAAGTAAACCTGCCTGGTGCGCACAGCTAATCGTGCAAGGCATCACAACGACCCGTGCATCCTTCAGATTTGGCGTTTGATCTGGCTGTTGATTTCATCCCATCGGGTAAGTATTATTATTTTTTTAAAAATATTATTGCATTACATTTCATGCACACGTATTTTGTCGTAAGGTATGCAGTGGTTGGAAACTGTAACCGCTTCGATGAACAAAATCTATATTTAGGCCTAATCCAAATTGTTGTACATTGTTTCAATATGGCAATTTCAAAAGGATTCCGAAACGAAATAGGAAACTTAAAGACGGATCACTTTGAATCGGACAGTGGTTTACATTCGAAAAAAAAAATGAGAATCGTGAAACATTCATATTACTCCATATTACTCCATCATTATTACCACCGATACCTGTCGCCCCCTGGCAGTCACCGTGAACGGACCGCATGTGCGTAGATGATTTCATATTTTTAGACCACTTTTTGATTTTCAATATCATTTATTTTCTACAGAATTTCTCCTGAAGGACATTGTTAGGCACAATGGCCGCCGTCACATCGTCTTCGCCATCCCAGAGCAGTTGCAGGTCGTGACGAGGGCTCGCCGTTGGTACATCGACGGTATACGTTCAAGGTGGTGAAGAACAAGGGCGGATCCAGAGCACAATTTTGGGGGGGGCCAAAAAAAATTTTGGTCCCCCCAAAAAGTGGGTCTAACAAATTACGGCGTGGGGTTCGGGGCCCGCGAGGGCCCCGAAAATTTTTTGGATTCTAGATGCTCTGTGGTGCGATCTGAGGCAATTTCTGACCACTTTAACCAATTTTTTTTGAGGAAAAGATGGTGGTGTACTCATTGCCTGCCTTTATTGCGATGTCACATTAAAAAAAAAAAAAAATTGGTTTCGTTGGGGGGGGGGGGGGGGGGGCCATGGCCCCCTTTGGCCCCCCCCCCCTGGATCCGCCCTTGGTGAAGAAGCCCTTCTACCAGCTCCTAAGGCCAAAAAAAAGTCTCCGGTTTCTGGTATGGAGCTTGTCCAAAAAGTGGTGCGGCGACGCGGCTTTTTTCTTTTTTACCCGACTCTTTTGCTTCAAATGTGCTTCAAATGTCGGCTGATGACTGCAAATGGTGCCCGACTAAACTTAGTGCAAATATATGGGAGTCCAGAGACGCCACATAAAGCTTATTCTCGATCATAACCCCATCTAAAAACACGTTGAAATTGCGCAGCAGCAGAATTCCAGTCAAACCAGTGAGTTTGGCGGTTTTGAGACATCATCTTTCATTGAAAAAAAAACTTTTTCATTTTGCCGACGCGCATGGCTACGGCGACGCGCGCGCATACCAGAAACCGGAGACTTTTTTTTGGCCTAACTGTTCATTGCTTCGTCAGGAGCGATGATGTCTGCAAGCAGGTGCCGGTGATGTACGCGTTGATGTCGGGCAAGAAAGCAGGTGACTACAAAGCCGTTCTGCGGGCGGTGAAGAAGGCCCTGCCGGATGAGTTGGAGCTCCAAGAGGCGATGGTGGACTTTGAGGCAGGCATCTGGAAGGCCTTGTCAGCCGTATTCCCGCAGGTATTAAATCCTGTTCTAAGATGAGGAAAAAAATTATCACTTCAAATTTGTTCAGGATTTACAAAAGACCAAGGAAAATAATGAAAACAGATAAAAGAAGTGTGTTAAAAGCATGATGTAGTATTAACATTTTTTATCAGTGTTCGGCTGTATTAATTTGGCAACAAAATAGTACATGTACATGAGAATAAGAACTTAATAATCAACTTGTTCCGCGAGGTTGCACGCATTATTGTGCACTAAGGCCTGTCAACTTCTGCCCTGTCAACTTTGGGGTCATTATTTGAATTAGGCACGTCAGAAAGTCGACGTTTGAAGTGGGCCCAATACTTACATCTTCTTTGTTTTTCAACAGGTTAAACGCCTGGGCTGCTCGTTTCATTGGAAACAGGCCGTGTGGCGGAAGATCCAGGTACTCGGTCTTCAGACAGCGTATAAGCAGTCCAAGGATGTCCATCAACTGCTGAAGGAACTAATGACCCTACCCTGCCTCCCCGCGGAGATCATCGAGACAGTTTTCCAGTCGTTGCGGGAACGAGCAGAGGGGCCTCTGCTTCAGCAGGTAGACCTAATTTGAAATTGAAGTAGTTTGAAATTGTGCATTGTTGAGATTCGTCAATGTTCCCGGCGTCTAGGCCAACCTTTTCGGAATCACTAAAAAATAGTATTGCATACATATCTTGCATACATATCAGAAAATATTTGAAACTTTGCATGGTAGTATGAGAACAGTTTCCGTTGTGGGCCAACCTTAAAAAAAGTCTTGCATATACATATCAGAGAAGAGTTGAAACTTTGCATGGCAGTATAATGAACGGTTCGCGTTGTGGTCATGTTTTGATTACCTGAAATGAAGCAGTTGTTTGAGAAGACTCAGCGTTCCGATAATAGTATGCTATGTCAACCTTAACTAATTCTGATACATATCCTTTTCATGATTTCCATCTTCTTCAGGTGTTCAAGTACGTGCACGACACGTGGATAACGTCAGATGTCTGGACGCCGTCTTCCTGGTCAACCTTCCTGTCGAGCATCCGAACCAACAACGACGTGGAAGGTTGGCACAGCCGCCTCAATTGGAAGACGGGCCGAGCCAACCTGACCCTCTACGAGCTTATATCAGCCCTGCACCGGGAGGCTCTCTCTGTCGGCATCCAAATGCGGCTTGTTTCTGAGAAGAAACTCAGCAAGTTTCAGCGGCGACAATGGAGAAGTCAGCAGGCCCGACTCTTCGCCCTCTGGGATGAGTTCGTAAGTGGGCAGCGGACAGCTAAACACCTACTACGTGCAGCTGCCAACATCGTCGGACAGGCGCCAGATGACAAGTAATGCACAGAGTCCATTCTGAGGTTCATAGTCCATTCTAAATAATGACAGTTAAGAAATGTAATTATAATCAAACCTTCACGAATCTTTAACTTCAGTATTGTGCGTTTACAACTTCAGTATAAATAATGACAGTTAAGGAATGTAATTATAATCAACCCTTTACGAATATATAACTTCGGTATTATGCGTTTACTTTTACATTCTGAGGTCAACACGACATCCTGAATAACAGTTAAGGAAAGTAATTATAATTAACCCTACACGAATCTATAACTTCAGTATTGTGCGTTTACAACTTCAGTATAAATAATGACAGTTAAGGAAAGTAATTATAATTAACCCTTCACAAATCCATAACTTCAGTGTTGTGCGTTTACTTTTGTTTTTCAAATTTTATGAAGTGCGAATTTATTTCGAATGCATGTCCCGAATGGTATCCTAGTGAGGGATATGACTTCACGAATCCAACTTCAGTATAAATAATGTAAGTTAAGGAATGTAATTATAATCAACCCTTCACGAATCTATAACTTCAGTATTGTGCGTTTACAACTTCAGTATAAATAATGACAATTAAGGAATGTAATTATAATCAACCCTTCACGAATCCATAACTTCAGTATTATGCGTTTACTTTTGTCTTTCAAATTTTATGAAGTGCTAATTTATTTCGAATGTCCCTAGTATATAGTAGTCCCTGGTAGCCTAGTACATCAGGCCTGAGAGAAAAATGGTGAGAAGATGTCATAATAACACTTGACAAAAAACTGTTCATTGTTCTCCTTGTATTTTGATTTTCCTTGGTTTTTTGCTTAGGCTAAGGTCTGCAATATAATAATTATAATAATTACAGTATCAACCAACTAGGCCTTTCGGATACTTTGAATTCCACTACACAATAACAACAATAAATGGTATTTAAACCATATAAATAATAAAACAAGACACTCACTTACCGCTAAGAGTAGAGGGTCCAACAAATTAGCTTCGTTATCAGACTTTTGGGGATTGAACTATTACGATTGCCCAATTCAAAATTTGTTTCTGAAAGTGCTATTTCTGAGCCTCTTTTATAACTTTTTCAAAACCGTTCGGTATGTTTAAAAAGAACACCACTAAACCAAAAAAACCAATTTTTTTTTTCAAATTTATATCATTTTATCTAAAAATATTTTTTAAAACTGAATTTTTTGTTTGGAAACTAAGAACCCCGAGTCGAGCTAGACAAGTAATGGCATTATTGACAAACGGTGAGCGCGGGTATATCACCGTGAACGCTATGCACACAGTACAGGCGCTAGCCCCACGGGCCCAAAGCCACGGGCACTCCGCGAAAAATTAAGCGAAAAACCCCACTCCGCGAAAAATCAATATGTGCTAAGGTGTTTTCAACCAAAATTAAAAGGATCAAAAGTTTGTTTGCATTTGTACAGGAAACCTTCAAAATGGCGTTTGAATAATGTGGCTCCATTAAGTTTCACGTTTCGACAATGTGTTCTCCTCCACGGTCTTTATTTTTTTTTCACAATGTCCCCGTACGGTGCATCTTTTTCCAGGGGGCGAGTCGGTCAGGAGGCGAGTCGGTCAGGGGGCGAGTCGGCTATGAAGGGAGTCGGTAGGGGGCGAGTCGGTAAGCGGCGAGTCGGCCAGGGGGCGAGTTGACCTGACACCCATGCGCCCAGATCGTGTACCGTTATTGTAGCAGTGATATAGCCCCCTCTCGTGATTAATGATGAATCTCAATAAAAACACAATAACACTTAAAGTCATTCTCCTACATAGATATGGTAACATACATTGAATTTGCCTTATTCTAAGCATTGAAGGAGATGAAGATTATTGTGGTCGATTACGGTATTGTTACCCCTGATAAACAGGCCCAGAATCCTGAAACAGAAACTTTGTCATCAATCCCAACGTCTATTTATTTCCATCCATTTTAGGAGGTGCATCGGAATGATGGCTGAGGATTATACCCCCTTTTTATTAACCATAAAATAAGGCCGAGTAAAAAAAAAGAAAAAAAAGTTTCTCGTCCGGGTTTTTGAAAAATAGGAGGAAGAGGGGCTTTTTATTTTTTATTTTTTATTTTTTCAAGATGGCCACCATTTTAAAATTTCCTGCAACCGTTGGTGTTTCCAATGTTCAAAGACACTTTTAAAATGAAAGACAAGTTGGACAAGAGAACTGAACATATTAACAGTGTCCTTTAGAGTTGTATTGGTCTACCATGGAGGAATAAGAACACACCCAAGAACAGTTTTAGATGCATTTGCTTTACCGCCAAAAGTCGCGCGAGCAAATTCTTTAAACACATGCTCCAGCGTGAGCTAGTCTCATCATACCGGTTGCATTCTGGCTTTGAAGTCAGATTCCGGTTGAATTTTCAAACGACTGTAGTCTTAAACTATCAATAGACATACATGTACGTAGTCTGGTTCCCTAGACCTGACAATTATTCCTGACGCTCACGTCTCAGCCTCGACTCCATGGGCGCGTAGATTCATCAGGAATAGTCAGAATCTGTTGGTCTTGGAACCAAGTGGGTGAGTTTTGTTGTGAACTCGCCATGCTCGCACTGTCGCAGGGGTAGCGATCACACGTCGAAATTATGTGGTGTACAAAGTGACCGACAGAGTCTATACTGAAAACCTCGACTCCCATATTTCGCAAGTATTATTTTCCGATGAATTTGTGGACTATTTCAGTGTTTTTACAGCATTTTTCAAAAATATAAAATAATAAAAAAAATCCAGGCAGCCTCCAAAAAGGAAGCGGGCGGGGACGAGAAACTTTTTTTTTTACTTTGCCTAAGTATACAATCCAAAACATAAAATTTTCTGGGATTTCAGGACTTAGTACCCCTTTAAGGCCGAGTAAAATAAATAAAAGTTTCTCGTCCGGGTTTTTGAAAAATAGGAGGAAGAGGTTTTTTTTTTCCAAGATGGCCGCCATTTTAAAATTTCCTGCAACCTTTGGTGTTTCCACTGTTCAAAGACACTTTTAAAATGAAAGACAAGTTGGACAAGAGAACTGAACATATTTACATTGTCCTTTAGAGTTATATTGGTCTACCAAGAACAGTTTTAGATGCATTTGCTTTAACCACCAAAAGTCGTGATTCATTTTGGATGAGTGATTTTACAGATAAAATCAAGCACCAAATGTCAACTCTCAAAACCTAAAAGAGTAAATGCCAAGCTATTAAGAATGTGGGTTTTGGGTTTTTTGTCATAAACATATGAAGATTGATTGCAAATATTTGAGGCAATGTTTTTATTCTATATAATTGGTCAGTTTATTTTTGCAAGTCTATATTAATTCTACTACACCTGTACACAGACTTTACCTGCAAATGCATCGAAAAGATCACCGAGTGTCGTCTTGCCATCAAATACTGTCCGTGCATACCACGGTTTTATAACTTTAATTTTGGTTCGTAAGGAAACGCAAACGAAAACCATTGTGATGAAATCAAACAAAACAAAATGAAGATTCGGGCTTTAATTTCTTGTTGATGAATGCATGGAATGCACTGAGTGACTGCTACTAGCATGACTAGTGCTAGTGAAAACATCGGCCGCGCGAGCGAATTCTTTAAGCACATGCTCCAGCGTGAGCTAGTCTCATACTGGTTGCATTCTGGCTTCGAAGTCAGCATTAACCGCATACAGTACGGCAGACAGATTCCGGTTGAATTTTCAAACGACTGTAGTCTAAAACTATCTATAAACATACATGTACGTAGTCTGGTTCCCTAGACCTGACAATTATTCCTGACACTCCCGTCTCAGCCTCGACTCAATGGGCGCGTAGATTCATCAGGAATAGTCAGAATCTGTTGGTCTGGGAACCAAGTGGGTGAGTTTTGTTGTGAACTCGCCATGCTCGCACTGTCGCAGGGGTAGCGATCACACGTCGATATTGTGTGGTGCACGAAGTGACCGACAGAGTCTATACTGAAAACTTCGACTCCCATATTTCGCAAGTATTATTTTCCGATGAATTTGTGGACTTTTTCAGTGTTTTTACTGCATTTTTCAAAAATAAAAAATAATAAAAAAATCCAGGCGGCCTCCAAAAAGGAAGCGGGCGGGGACGAGAAACTTGGTTTTTTTTTAACTTTGCCTAAATGTTTCCTATCGTTTCGTTTTGCGGTAACACCATGTGGTAATAACTACTGCTTAGAAGATATTAGTTCTGAGAAGAACTTGTCCTGCTTATTATCAACTTGCTAAGTAGTTTTTTGTTCTGTTTAGAACAGTCCTGCTGTAAGTTCTAAAAGAACTTGTCTTTGGTCTCAACGTTTCGACTAGCCTGCTCTAGTCATCGTCAGTCTCCTGACGATGACTAGAGCAGGCTAGTCGAAACGTTCACCCCAAAGACAAGTTCTTTTAGAAATTACAGCAGGACTGTTCTAGACAGAACAAAAAACTACTTAGCAAGTTGATAATAAGCAGGACAAGTTCTTCTCAGAACTAATATCTTCTAAGCAGTAGTTATTACCACATGGTGTTACCGCAAAACGAAACGATACCGATACCCCACCATGCAAAGCCTCAAATCTTATAAATGTTTCCTCACAAATGCACGTATAACCAGTGGCGGCGTCAGACTCTAAAATTAAGGGGGCGGGGGGGCAATGGGGGGGGGGGCAAGCAAAGAATTTTTTTTTGGGGGGGGGGCAGCCAAAAATTTTTATTTTCAAGCCTGTGAACGCGCGCGCGTACCATTGCCAATGGTCCGGAAATAAGCTACTAGAGCAGAGTTTTACTAGAGTTTTACGAATGAGAAATGTATCAAACCGCAAAATGACGTACATGTATAACAAAATGTATAACAAATGTATAGAGATGTTAATTGGCTGAACACTATCTACGGCTGTATTAATGCATGTGTGGCGTGTTTTATCTTAAGTACCAATGTTCTAATGCTTTCATTGTGATAATTTTATGAATCTTAACAGCGAAGAAAATAAACATTATTAATATACTTGTAGAAATTAAGGTTGGGGAGGGGAGGGGGGAACTGGGGGGTGGGGGGCAATGAAAAAACTGTGGGGGGAGGGGGGGAATGCCCCCATGGCCCGCCGGCCCGTGTACAGTACATTAGCTAACTTTCATTGACGTGATTCACAGTAGTGTTCCATTTTATGTATTGGATTGGCAGGCTAGACGTGACAGAGTCGGAGCTCGCACTTTGCTTTGGTTACCTGTTAACAGCGATCCTATCCTCGGACGGACAAGAATTTTGGGACCAAAAGGTATGGCAGGCGCAAGGGACAAAACTGCAACCAGCGGGCTCTGCGAACGGATGACTTCAGAACCAGCAGTCAGCTGACTGGCAACCGTTCTGTGAAACTCCGTTCGGCAAATACACAATGACTAACATTTATTCCTTAATAGCTAATATCGTCTCAGACGGAATCTGAACTGTGTTCACCAGGCTCAATCGACGGGCAACGGATATTTTTTACCCGGCAGGCTTGAAAATAGTTGTAATTTGGTTCGTGGATAGTAACGAATGTTCTTGATGATTCCGCAGGTGTGTGGGGTGGAGTGGAGAGAAATGGTGGTGATTTCTACAGTAGTGATGACCGTCATTAAGTTGGTCAACCATGCCGTATTCATCTGAAGACCAGGAAACAAATTGACAGTAGCGGTAAGCTAAACACACCATTTTTATTACATTTTCTGACATTCATTTTCAAATTCTGCAAAAGACTCTAATGGATCTGCCATGAAAGATTGTACACTGTAAAAAAACAATAGGCAAAATGGGTTGATAATTCGACCAATGCTGGTCGAATTATCAACTGACTACACTCTTGGGCAAATTCTTCCCAATAGTTTGACAGTTTTTACCCAAGTCAACCCAATATGATGTAATTCATACCAATGCTGGGCATGTTACATTGCCTAACAATGTTTCATTCAACCTTTTACAGTGAATTTTCTTAAAGTTCTTTTCAATTGAAATGGATTCCGAACTATTAACATTGGTTTCAATCATTTTTTTTCGTGCTAACAAATTATCTTTCATTTATTTATTTATTAATTTGTTTTTTAAGTTTATTTTTTTATCGGGCAAGTCATTACATGCGGTGTTCCATTGAGTCTTAGCTGACACAAAATACATAGATTTTAAGCAAGGTTGACTGAAGATAAAAACTCAGAAAAAAAGAAGGCCCTCGGTTTCCGTTTGGTCCGTTCTTATATTTTGTTCCAGTTTTGTCTATTTTATGTTACTTTTTGTGGCATTTGAGCGTCATTTCTCTTGAGAATTTGGGCTGTAGCAAAGCAAGCTCTTGTCGAATTTTGGTAGTTTATTGTTCCAAAGTCCTTTTAACACTGAACTGACAATTTGATATCATATTCAATCGTAGTACCCTGTTGAGTTAAAATGGACAAAACCTTTATTTTTAATCATATTAATCAGTGTTTTTTTTTACTAGCATTCGCGAGCCGAATAATGAGGTGTGGATTTACAGAGCAAAAGAAGGGCACCCTCTGCTTTAACCTGAAATTAATCTAATCAAAGCGTCTGATCAAAGCATGCATATTTATGCGATATCGCAACTCAGCAAATTGGAGTGGACTTTTTACTAAATCGTGACGCATTTCATTCCCAAATCAAAACTAACGGTTTGATTGGTCAATTCGAATGCAGTGTTTTGTAATACAACAGCCGGGCGCGTATCGCATTACATTATACAGAGCGCGTGACCACAGCCATTGTTGCTGTGTCTAGGTGTTTTTTTATTCATGTCTATGACGCGACACAGGTGAATGACCGAGGACCCGATATAGAGAGCGCCCGCTGATTGGTCAAAATCTGGAGGTCAAGATGTGGTTGTCTTGCATAATTAATCAGCGAATCTGTTCAAAAATTATAGATCGTGGCTCCGCCATAGTCTATTACATAGACTAACCCAAAACAGGCAGGGTTTCAATTTCTCCGTATTTTCTGCGTCTGAAACGGATGCGATTTTCCACAGGGCACCAGTGTGGTCTCCACACTCCTGCACATTGTACGGTTCTTGTCATGGCGGTCGTTACCAAGGAAACCACAGAGCTGTACCAGTACCAGCCCTGCGTCTTTCTTATTCTGTTTGGTCTGATAGGATCCAAAATGGCCAACAAACTTATAGTGGGTTAAGTAAAAGAATACTCATTACCAATATATGTTTGTTTTTATACAGACAAACAAATAAACAAACAACCCAACACACCAATAAAAATAAATAAATAAATAAATAAATAAACCGGGTGCACCCTTGCGTTGGTGTGTACCAAAAGTGTTTGACATCCGCTGGGAATATTCCACAGTAAAACAAAATGCCATAACAAAATGCCAATGTATGCATTGGCAGTTACCTTTATTAGCCCCTTTTAGCCAGATGCCTTGTTCCTGACCATTCACGTAATTGTAGCTGAATGTCTTGTTAGAGTTGTGTCCAAAAAATCAGCTGCGTGCCCCCTGTCGGATTGTTTTGATGCAACCCTGGGGTGGGAGCAAGGACAACCTGTACATGAACTCGATTATAATTCTATACAGATCCTTGCTATCAGTTTATCCAACATTTTTTATTAGAAGTTACGTTCCATTAAAACAAGCAAACCAGACTCGGAACCACATTTGGGTTCTTCTTTTTCAGATCGCTTACGTGACTAAGTCACCGATGATTCTTCCAGACACCATTCTGATTGGGCCAATGGCGATGCTAGCCAATCAACACCTGTCTAATCCCCTGCCAAGTCACCTCTTACTGTGGTCCGTTATGGTGAGTCAGGGTTACTAGACTTTAAGAAAATTCCAACGAACAAAAGACAAATAGACCATTATCATGTTGTGGCCATCTTGAATTTTTCCCCGTTCAAATCAACGTAACCAAAGCGAGGCCGGAAGGAAAAATAGTCTGGCTTCTTTTCGCAAACAAACAAAATTTATCATTCAGTACTGTAAGTAGATTCAGGGAACATGACTGAAATGGTGGCAGCTTAAAAAGGTTTATTGTTTTATTTCAACATTACACTGGCATCTTCCTGAACTGTAAAACTGGCGTTAAATCTTCACAAAGAAGCTGACTCGATGATCATCAGCAGTAAAGAATAAAGGTTTTTTACTCCCAAAGACGAAATTGACGCAAGCCGTTGTTTAAATGCTATTTGAGGTCTGAAATCCATGTATTTACGTTTGGAATAATTGTTACCATCATCATTGAGGTTGAAGTATACATGATCGACGACGGTTAGGGCCAACCGTTACCTAAACGTTCGTCTCGGAACATCTATGTATAGTACATTACCCCAACCAGCTGAGGATTTTAAACTGATCATAAGAAGTTTTTCTCAAGGGGGACTTATAGGCCTTTGGATGGAAATAATGATGTATACTTTTTTTCGCAGGTATACAGCGCACTTGATCTGCTCCGCTACGTTACGGTTGTGAGCCTTGTGACGTTCTTCACCTGACATGTTTCGGACCGTACCCAGTGAAAAAGCAAACAAACGGTAAAAGCATCGGTGTCAGCGGTTGGATGCAGAACGGTAGGAGCGATGTTCACTAAATCGATGTGAGGAATAGTAGCAGCAATTTAAGTCCTGTTGGATGAGTGCTGATAGTAATAATAGCAGCGATAATTGTGATATGGTGACAAGGCGGGAAAAGGAGTAGTAGTATTTACACTGGTGGCAGTGGTGGTATTGATGGCTGCCAATGGTATTTTTGAGTATCTATGCAAACAACAGCAATACTGATACAGATGGCAGCGGTGGGATATGAGTAATATTAGTAATTACTGATATTAGTAATTACTGATATATTACTGAGATATTACTGAGTTTTAGTGCTGTAGTGGAATCTCTTAAACTTATCTTTTAATGTCCTGGTGGAATCTTAACTTTTGGACCATTTCACTTTGTTATGGACGGATTTTGAAGTTATTGATCTTTGCAACTATGTTTTTATTTAGGGTTCATGCAATATTATTCTCTTAAGAACATATTTTGTAATACTTTCTACTCCTCTTAATTTTGTAACCTATTTGTCATCCCTTTTTGGTTAATCGTATTGAAAAAGTGCACTTCTTCAGACGTTTACTATTTTCCGTGAATTTCTTGACAACTAAGGGCGCTGCTTCTGTGATGTCATTTCAGGAAGGCACTCAGATTTATAATTCGCATTATACAGTCCTTTAGTGATCGTCAAAAACCCGGGTCCCTCCTACCCTCTCACACGCAATGTGTCCCAAGTCTCATCATTTAGAACGCCCAAATATAATAACAGATGAAGGCAAAATGTACTTCTTCGATAATTTATTTACAATATGTCTTCAAAAATACACAAAAAATCAATAAATGGGGTGAGCCATTTTCACACTCTAATTACTGCCAAATGTAGCACATGACAACTGGCAAAATAAAACAAAATACAGTGAATGCGCTACAAGCTTCAACATCAAATATTTGAGCACCATTCAATAATTGAAGACTCTTGTCCTAAACACTATTCAGTTACATTATAAAATTGTGTTTATAAGCGTGTTTAAAACAGGTGTTCTTTTGGCCTTGAATTGAATAACAAAAATTAGATAATATTTGCAAGAAACAATGTTACTCCCGATTTACTGTAATTGTCCGGTAATGTCCTCAAAAATTAATTACAAAAGCTTTTTAACCTATCCCGGTATGTACACAATGAGAATTAATGTTTAGTTGCACCGCGTGGTTTGCAAGGTGACCACTATACATTTGCGATTTTAAACAGCGTTAAGTACATGTAGTTAAACGTTAAATATTTGCATCATATCGTTTCAAAGTGTTACAATTGTTACAAGTGTTACAATCTCATGTTAATTCAATTTGTATATATTTGATTATTAGTGATGTCTTTTTGAACTGTATGGACGTGACAACCCGTCGATGAAGGCAAAATGTATACAAGTGGGGTAAGACTGTTAAGCCATTTTCACACCCTAATAACTGACAAATACAGTTCAACTTCACCAAATGTAGCACACGGCAACCGGCAAAATAGAGAAAAATACAGTGTAATGCGCTACAAGTTTCAAAATCAAAATCAAAGAAGAACGCGTTCATAATCTGAGCACCATTCAATAATTAAACACTTTTGTTTTAAACACTATGCAGTTACATTCTAAAGCGTGTTTAAACAGGTGCTCTTAGCTTTGAATTAAATAAGAAAAAAATACCAAAATAATAATTTCAAAAAAACAATGTTACACCCCCGATTTGCTGTATCTGTCAGGTAATATTAAATGTCCTCAGAAGTTAATTACGAAAGCTTTTCAACCTATTCCGGTATGTACACAATGTCAGATACATGTTTAGTTGCACCGCGAGGTTTAAAAGGTGACCACTTGACATTGGCTATTTGAAATAGTGTTAAGAACATGTAGTTAAACGTCAAATATTTTCATTATTTGAAAAATTAAAAAGTGTTTTATAAGTCTTACAATCTAATGTTAATTCAATTTGTATATTTGAATATTATTTGTGTCTTTTTCAACTGCATAGACGTGACAACCCATCCGGAAAATATCTGATTATTTTTAAGTTAAATGCATTAAGCCTTTTCTCAGTTCGGAAATGATGAATATGCAGAGATTTAATTTACTAGCCCGAAGATGCCTTTTTCAGTCGAGGTAGGATGTGGTGAACCACCTTCTCAACGAGTGTTTGATCGAGGCCTGAGCTTTGTAGTGGGAAATAGTCCAGCTGGGGAAAGCTCCGGAGATGATTTGCTAATGTTTTTACTCCATCCAAACTGAATGCATTTCTACCGACATACAGCGCTTTCAAAACATGACCAGTTGGAAGGATTCGGATGAGGGCTATGACGTCATCATCATTCAAATAACATGACTCGCAACCAAGATACTCCAGGGAGGCTGTAACTAAAGGAGCTAATGTACTCACGTGACCATGCATGTTGATATTACGTAACCCAAACCCATCTAACTTGCAGTCTTTCAAAGCATCCACCAGCTGAATGACAGAATAATGAGATAGTTCAACCATCGTTACACCAAACAGCTGAAATTCATGTTGGGACAAACGTATCATTCTTTGTGAAATTACCTCCGGAGAAAACACTGACTTTTTGTTTACATACACCATTAATGTCAGCCGGGACAAAATAGTTTCTTCTACTGATCCAAGTAATTCCTCTAAATGACGAATCTCTCTGTCCCCTTGTTCAGACATGGTATACCGAACCGTGAGTGCCTCAACTACATTCAAGTTTACAGTCACAACGATACGTAGTGCAAGTGTAATATCGTCATACGTACCGCAGTGTAAGTCAATATGCACGCCTTCCAGTGACGTGTCGGGAACTGATCGTAAATAAAAATCTAATGCCATCAGATCCTCTCGGGTATCACAATGCAGATACCATTGTTTGACCAGTTCATTAGCCAACTCCTTTGAACCAGAATCAAAAAGCAACAAGCGCAACAAGTCATCTCTCTTAACATTGTACTGTTTGTGTACATGATTTAGAATAACACGCGCAACTTCGGGCGACCGCCCACAGCAAAACCGAAGGAGCATTTCCATTTCACCAAGATTATCAGAATCAATCTGCTCCAACATTTGGTGGAAAGTTTCGATATCATGTTTATACAAATGAACCAGGTAATGAGCAGCAGAGTATTCTTGAAAGGATCGATGATAAAATGTGACCACTTCTTTGATATAAAGACCGCTGATGAAACTTTCCCTCTGCAGGAAACCAAATTCACAACCGTCATGCAAAGATGAGGTACATTCAGAAAATTCCTCTCTGTCGAAAACAAATCGTGCGTATGTTGAATCTAACAGTCCATTTAATGCAATACGTCCGAGGTCCTTCAAGACAGTGTTCACTCGTTGCCGCAAGTGATGGTCATCTTTAATTCTGCGTCTGACAAGAACCTCTGCGAACTCGAAGTAGAGCGCTGTGATATTATGTGGCAAAGAATACTGATTTTTCCAAATGATGCACACCACGTGGCAAACGATAGGAATCTCCGTCAGTCTATGAAAAGATGGGATGGAGTCTAACCGCGCAATTAAAGTCTCACCCGACGTGATATTGTCGGTAAAGTGTGACTTGATAAATTTGTTTCTGTTTTCAATTGAAAAGCCTAAAATCGTAACCTTGGCGAAATTCTTGTAACTATTCTGAACATACTCAACCATATGAGGTCGCGTTGTTACCAACACGTAGCTATTGACCAAGACTTTGTTTTGAAAAACATCTTTGATTGTGTACACACCCTTCGTAGATTCCAAAACATTAGATGGAATCTCATCTAATCCGTCCAGTAAGAATGCTATGTCTGCTTGGTTATTGGCGATTATGTCTTTCATTTTAGATTTCGTCAGATCGGTATCCTTTGGTAAAATTTGGTCAAATATTGCATCTATGATACAACTCGATTTCCGCATGTGCCTCAACTTCAACACGAACACAAGCTTGAATTTCGCGAGTTTACCCTTAACCGACCAATCATTCGCAATTTTCCCTAAAATTGTGGTTTTCCCATATCCGGCCCCACCTGAGAGAATGATTTTGGAGTCTTTTACAATTTCTGGTTTAAACAACTCTTCCCACGTATCCAAACGTAATGTTTGTACTTTGTCCAACATTATTTCCTCCCCGCGGTCATTCGGCATTATCTTTCCCGGTAAGTCCCTATTGAGTTCCAAATCAACAAAGAACTCATCAATATCCACGGTCCAGGAGGGTAGCAAGGGGTGTGAAGGGATGGTGCTTGTTGTATCTTTGTAGAACTGCATAAGCTGCTGCTGGCAGTATTCCAGATCAGTGAGGACTGAAGGCGTGGGCGGCACAGGCCCTGAAATTATACACACACATAAAACATGAACGTAACCAATCTAACCATTTGCAGATCAAAAATTGCCAATCAAGTTGAATAAAGCCTATATAGGCTTCTTCAACTGCCCGGATTTTGGCGGAAAGCGCCCACTGTTTTGCCAGGCCAGTGTTTGCAAGACGTTTCATACCAAAACGCCCATCAGACATTTAACCGACTTCTTAGGGCGGGTATTGACCAATAAGATGTTTCTACCGTCTAATACTGAAAGCAGATAAACCAAACCTTTTCTTTTGGTTTCAGCATGCTGAAGTTGTTTCTTTTGGTTTCAGCATTCTGAAACTGTTTCTTTTGGTTTCAGCATTCTGAAGCTGGCATACTTTTGGATATTTTGATTCGGAGAAAGGTTGTTGCTGCCAATGTTCATGAGTAAAAGTTAAATATGTACACGAGATGGATTGCACAAAATGCCTTCACGTTGACTGTCGGAGCGGAGATGTTTGATCAATGTTGTTCAGCATAATGACTTATTTTGCTTTAATATCTGAAAAGTATCATAACACATGATTTTGAAAAACGCTTCGTATATAAGTGTCTGAAATAGTTCATCTTTATTTAAAAATGTTCGGCTTACATGGGGGGGAATTGTAGAACAGAATGCCAACCAGGACTATCACAACAGCAAAAAGGCGAGGCCAAGAAAATGAAACCCATTTCCATTGATCAGGTTGATCTAAAAAGGGCAAAATAACACAAAGATCGGAAAGGTTTATAGACGAAAGCCAATCTTTCGGGTCACCTTTAGAACTTTGATGTAATGTGTTTAAATGCAGCAGAGGCGATTTATTGCCAACATGGGAGTGAGGGTGACCAGCAATTAGAGAAATTCGAGAAAAAAAGGGGGACAACAATATAACCATAGAGGGCGCTGGTCAAAGATGTATGTATGCAAATAGATGATGCTCATTTACGCCCATTTCGACAATTGGCATATATTGTGTAAATTCCGTGTGTGTTGCACTCACACCATTTTGGAAAAATACAGTGCAAATTTAGGTACATTGGGTTAAAATCTATACGCAATAAATTATTTGGTGGGGAGGGCAATCGCCATTGGTGCCCCCCTCCCCGTCAGGGGACCGATGCCCATGATGGGGTGCCATACAGCATGTTGTCAACCTAAGTTACTCAAGACTAAATCACTCACCTGACTTAAGCCTACATAATTATTCATGGTTTGTGCTTTACCTGTTGGAGGATTCTCTCCGTCATTTGAATATTTTGTCTCTTCTTCTCCCAACTCTTCAGGGTAAAAAACAGAGAAACTTTATAAAATATGTTACAAAAATTACCATCCTCATTAAATAAATCGTGAACTTGAATACGTGAATATTAAGATAGTGAAATTTAATCATATCAATTG